GAGTGGCGAAGGTGTATCAGCACCACTGCACAGGCAGAAACCCTGTAGGGAGCAGGGGCACAAGCAAGTGGATGCATCAAATTCCTGGCCTTGTGCAAATTACTTGACTTTTCTCTGAACTGGGATTTCAGGAGGTGACATGACTGCCAGCTGCCCAGAATTTTTAACTTTTTTTTTTCATGAAGGTTGTGTGCCTGAATTCAGGACCGTATCTTGAAAACTTCCTGCCAGCTGATTGAGCAGAGCCAGTGCTGCCACCTGCTTGGGCTAGGAGAGGGAGAGTCGCGTTACTAGAACAACAGTCCTGAAGTTTGAAATAACTAACATGGAGTTTGCTAAAGGTTTTTATGGGCCTTGATTGAAATGTTGGTCTCCGAGGGAAAACCAGAGTAGTGCTTGTATTTAGCAGCCACAGACCAAAACCAAATCAGAGCCCACAGAAATAAAGCAGGTCTTCACCTTCGGTGCTGCCTGGAGCTGGGCCCGAACAGGTAAGTTGGGATCGGAAAATCCCTGGGATCTGCTGTGAAAGCTGCAGTTCCTCCAAGTCGGTTTGTTATGGCAAAGCCATTTTCTGTCCATGCCACTACTTGGCTGCTGGAGGGAACAGCAACAGCTGAGAGGAGGAGGGGGGTTACTCACCAAAATCATTGGCACAGAGGTTTTCCAGGATCTCCCTGGCAGTGCTGGCCTCCTCAAGCTCGCAGTCCTTGCAGCTGGCTCGGGGCACTGCTGCAACAGAAATTTGGTTATAACGCCCTTGTCAAGCTTCACTGGAAAAGGCATAATGTAAGTTTGAGATCTGCGAGTGGTGGCTTGCTGTTTCCGAGTGGTGCTTCCTCCCGAGCTACCCTGGAGAGACAGCTTAGGCTGCCAGGGTGGGAAATGTTAAGCTCTCCTTTCTGTGGCTGGGGCAGACGCTGCTTGTCGTGCTTTGTTTAGGCTTGTGTGTGTTGCTGCATGTTAAAGCAGCAGTGAAAATGCTTGATGAAGATCTCCTAGTTTGGATGAAACAGTAAAGCCATTGGTATGGCCAGACTCCATCCAGTGATGCTGAAATGAGGTGTCTGTTCTCCCCTTAACTGCTCTTGAATCTCCCGCAGTGTTCATCAGTATCTGGGTGTTTAATTTAGCCTTTCAGTCTTAAAGATTTTTCCCTTGAGTAACTCATGTCTGCAGAGGCTTATGCCCCTTTGTGGTGTTTCCTAATGTTCAGAGAGAAGGCTTGCAAAACGTTTCTTTTTGCATGTTTATTTAAACCCTGGACACAGCTGAAAGATCAGGGCTGCAGCTCCTTAGCTCCGCTGGAAGCGCATCGCGCCGCCTGGAGCCTGCACACAAGCTGTGCCTGAGCGTTAGGCTTTTACAGCGATTTCTTCCCCCTGCCCCAAACCCCACGTGGTCTGATGGCACCCGGGGAGCTAATGAATACAGTAGAGAGGGGAACAAGCTGCAGTCAACATTACGCTAATTTTTTAGACACGGCGGAGTTCCCAGAGAGAACAAAACTAGAATTTATCTTTTTTTTTTTTTTTTTTTAATATAGCTTAAACCCAGAAATATTAGGAACAGAAACAAGGCATAGGCCCATCCTTTTGAGCTTTCAGTGTTACATATGGGAAAACATATGAGGAAAAAAAACCCTTACTTCTCCTGCTCGAGGAATTTTCATCCGTGGAGACTGCCGCAATGCACAGTTCGTGATCTGCAGGAAACTTGTTGCAGTTCAGGATTTCGGGCCAGGGGTAGCCGTAACAAGCCATGACGGGTGCGCAGCTTCTCTTGACGGCTTCGCACAGGCTGCGGCAGGGGTAGATGAGCCTGGGGAGGGGATGGGAATTGCAGCACCTCTGGACCCCTGGCAGCAGGCTGAGGGTCGAGCCCTGGCATCGCGCTGCTGCCGCAGAGGGCTGTGTTGCACGCTGTAGCGCTAGCAGAGCTGTTTTGGGGTCTTTGATGTGTTTTGAACATTCATGCCCAGGAAGCAAACAACGAATTTCTGAGGACAGGAGGGATGAGGCTGTTCGATACAAGCTGCTGCCAGAAGCCCTTCCCCGTCCCAGGGATCTTCTCTAGTTGTGCAATGGCTGCTTACCTTTACAGGTGCCTAATTAGATACCTGACTTCCTTAGCAGCTCTGTCCTTTGACAGCTGCACCTCAAAACTGTGGATTTCTCTCTGATGCTGGCACTGTCGGGCTGAGGAAGCCCCTGCGTGTTCGGGGCAGGAGCCGGGGAGGGGCTGCAGGGGAGGTGGGAGGTGAAAGCCGGTGGGTGCCAGCAGCGAGGGGGCAGCCAGGGGAGACGGCAGCAGTGCCTGGGGTGGGAGAGCAGGAAAATCCAGAGGAGGGAACATAATGTTTCTGCTCCTGCGAGATGAAATGCTCATGTTTCACTTTCAGAGGGAAGGTCCCTGCTGGGTAATCCAATTGCCCCTCGCCGAGAGGGGCAGCACGGCTTCTCGGGGACTGCGCTGATCGCATTGCACACGTTTTCTCTCAGGAGGCAAATGCAGTTCTGCTCCTGGGGAGTGTTACTTGCTACAGCTGAAATAACTTGTAAAAACATCTTACCTGTCCAAGCAGATTGGTGCAAAGAGGGAGCAGAGGAAAATCCTAGCATCTGGGTGGCACTCCCTGGCCAGCAAAGGCAGCCAGCTGGAAGACTGCTGGATCACTTCTGGCATGGTCTCATGCTCCAGCAGGTTGGGAATCCTCATCTCGGAGTAGCCGATATCGTAGCACAAGGCCATGTGGTGTGGAATGGGCGTGCAGCTGGAGGATCTCCTCAGGTAGCTCGCCCAGGCTCCTGGAGAGCCCCAGAGCAGCAGGCGTGCCAGGAGACCCAGCAGCCATGGGCCGCCCGACCTCGAGGGGTGCCTGCGGTGGGCCGTGACCATGCTCAGAGCGAGCTGGGAGCGGGCGAACGGGTGGTGCACCCCGGACTGAGCTGTTCCCAACTGTGGGACGCCTTTTATAGCCTACAAGCCATCTCTCTGTCAATCCATCCTCATTAAGTGCGGCCCTTTCAGAGCCCTCATGGGGAAGACAATGCTCCAATTTTTGTTTGCCAGTGGCCCCGATTGTTTGGATTTTAGCAGGGGTTTGGCTTAGATCAGCAGGTGTGGAAATGAGGGCAGTTGGGGAGGGATAAATGACTTGGCCCATGTGTCTTGGGGCTCTTTCAGCCGAGATTGAATCTCTGTTTGACACCAGTGCTCCAGCCCATCCCCTTTCTCTTGCTCCAGGATTAGTCATTATTTCATAAACCCCAATGTTTTCCTCTCTTTTGTTTTTTGTCAAAGCAATCAAGTGTTGCTCAAAGTCAATTAGGAGGCATTTGTTTAGCTGGATCTATTGTTGAGCAGGCAGAGAGATAGGATGGTCTCACAGCCAGAAGTTAACCGTTTCGGAGAGCTGAGGGTAGAGAGGAACCAATTTGCAGCTGTGGAGCCAGGTTGTTTGCAGATGGGATTGGCAGTGCTTAGCTGGAAACCCCCTCACCTCGCAACCTGCGTGACAGAGTGCGCTTTCCGGTTAACAGAGTCTTAACTTCATTCCGAAATCCTGTTACTACCACTGAAGAGCGGGATTGTGCTTCCTCCAGCACGTAATTAAGATTCCAGAAGCCGTCATTATTGTAGCCCAGTTTGGGGAACTGGAAATACTGGGGCTGTTGCTTGCCAGCGCACACGGTTCATTCGGACCTGGTGCCGTGCCATGAGGTTCAAGCCGGCCAGCGGAAGCTCCGGCTCTGAAGCGTCCTCTGGCACAAGGACCCTGCGCTGCCTGTGGCGGAAATTGTTTCCTCGGAGGGTGTTACAGATACAGCCGGCCGCATTGTGTTTCTGGGGCTTCCCAGGAACATCTCATTTTCTCCAGGGCTAGTTCTGGTCTGTACTTAGCAAGAAGCCAACTGCTTATTGACAGTTTGAGCTGATAGGGTTGATTTAAGGTCATGGAAGTAATTAACTTTTTTTTTTTTTTTTCCCCCCCTTTGAGGATTGCTGCTGTAGTTGAGATATAATGTGTCCTTGGCCCATACCTGCAGGAGCTCTAGGGGCTGCAATTCAGAGAGCAGGACCTTGGGCCTAGGAGCACTTAAACCTGTCCTGCTTTGGTGGTTTTTCTTTCCCTCTTCAAAAGTCTCGGCAGCTGGTGACAAGATCCCCGTAGCAGTGACAGACATCAGCCGGAAGGATCTTCTCAACCTGCTGGGCCACAGCGTAACTATGCTGTGAAACGGGACCTCGCCAGCGCTTTGCAAGTGTGTGCCCAGTGCACCGTGCAGCTAGAAATCTCTTAGCCTCATAGTCGTCAGTGGAGTTCTCTGCATTTAAATTTGCTTGGGATCCTGGTATTGCGTGATTGCTGCTGGTGTCGTGCTGCGAAGGAAAGCTGGTGATACCAGCATGCTGCCTGGGTATGGAGCATGGCATCCGCCATGTGCAGTGTCTCCCCCTTTAATATTGCATTTGAAGACCATTTTTAGTGGGGGATCAAGGGAACGAATGGGAGTAAGTTTGGAAGTTGTCTCCTTGCTGTTTGAGTTTCGTAGTAGAACACTGTGCCAGGTTCCCCTGAAAGGCGTTTGGTTTTGTGCAAAGTGCTGTCCTCTCCACATGAGAGCAAGGAAGCCTGAAACCCCGGCCATCACCCCTGCTCACTGCAAAGGTTTTGGCCTGCCTTCCTGTAGAGCAGCAGTTCCCAGACTGTCACAGATCCACATGTCACCTTTGAAGTGATAATATACGGTGATATGCATGTGTTTGTTCACTCCTTTGTCCATTGTGGTATCTGCGAGAGAGTTTAAGGGCTTGACCCCTGGATCCAAACATTTAGGAACTGCTGCTGTAAAAACACCCACCTCCAGCAGCTCAGGTGTGTGGTGTATGCTCTTTGAGAGCTCTTCTGGTAAAAGGCTGGATGTGTTTGTCCCAAACTTAGGCAGTTTCTAAATTGCTCCCCTCCCCCCCCGCCTTCTGAGTGGCCTGCCATCAGTATGGGGTCCCACTGTAACAGTTCCTCAGTCTCTGTTGCTGCTCACACTTTTGCTGCAGAAATTCCTGACTTCCTGACAGAGGAGGAGTGCAAGCTCATCGTCCATCTGGCACAGTTGAAGGGGCTGCAGAAGAGCCAGATCCTACCAACAGATGACTATGAGGAAGCCATGGAAATGATAGAAATCAGCCAGATGGACATTTTCAATCTGCTGGACCACAATCAGGATGGGCAGCTGCAGCTCAAAGAGGTAGAGTGCGGGACAGAGTGGGGGAGATTTGCTGGGGAACCCTCTGGCAGGTCCCCTCCTCAGATGGTCTCTTGATTACTCGGGTGCTTGGGTGGGGCCAGACCCTAGTATATACCGGTCAGTATTGGCTTAATTTTATGTCTCAAGATTTGTGTTGGCCTTCAGTGTGGAAGTTTCTGGGGAAAAGTGCAGCAGTTGTGATGCTATTGGGAGGTAGCAATGCTCCTTGGCAGGAGATGTGTGTTTTGAATATGCTGGGTAAAATGTTCCTTGTGCTGTGGGTTTCCTCTTGCTGGGTGTCCCAGGGAAGTGAGTTTGTAGTGTAGGCGCTGCTTTGTGCAGCCTGTGAGGACTGACTGCACGCAGTTGACCAGACCTCAGCAAAGCCACCCCTATTGATGACCCTGGAGGAGGATAATGAGCACCTTGTCCACAGCTCTTCGGCACCCTTGCCCTGGATGGCAGGGTGCATCAGGGCAGGCGCTGGCAGTTCAAGGATGTCCCTCCCCAGGCTCCCGTTTCGGGGGGGGGTTGGGGGGGTGTACTGTCCTGTGGGCAGCACACGTTGTGGAGTACGGGGAACTGTGCCAGTGACAACCCAGTCCGAGGCTCCTTTCTCTGGAGGTCGGAGCCTGCTGAGAGCTCTCCAGGATACTGCATCTCTCTGTCCACGTGGAAGAGAAGCATTTTGTTCCAAGCCTTTATCTTGGACAAGTAAAAGCATTCACTTTTATCATCAGTAGCTTTACTTTCCCTTCAAGAGAAAAAGTTGTGCCCCCTCCATCTCATGACTGGTTAATCAAATCCCAGCAGTCATTTGCCATTACCTAAACTGGAAATAACAGCACTCATCAGCCACACGCTGTGTGTGGCTGCCAGATGATTCTCACTGCAGTCTTCTTTCTGCAGAGACGTGCTGACGCCTGGCTGGCCGATGCTCTGCAGAGGACAGCCCGCCAGGCCTCAAGCAGGGAATCTGTAGGGTTTCATTAGTACAAGAAACCAGTGCCCGGTGTTCATCCATTTATGAATTTCAGGTGTTGACCCACACCCGTCTTGGGAATGGCAGGTGGATGACCCCTGAAAACATCCGGGAGATGTATACTGCAGTCAAGGCTGATCCTGATGGGAATGGTAAGAGCAGCTCCATGGGAATCCCTTTACCCTCAGCACGCTGGGTGCCTCGCATAGCCATGCGGGGCAGAGCAAAGAGCCCTGTCCCTGCCCAGGCCTGTTTCTCTAGCTGTGTTCTTCAAAGGAAAATAACACTGCTTTAGAGACCTTCGCGTAAAAGTAAAATCAGTGTAAATCTCTTATCGCAGCACTCCTACCCCTTCATCGCCAGTCTAGCAGCAGACTAGTTCCACCGCCTGGGCTTGGATCTTGCAGAAGCAGGACCAGAACACAACTCTGCGTTCCCTCTCCCCTGTCAGATCTGCCATGGTTCGTGCCCAGCTGTAACAGGACCTTCAGGGTGCGCTTCTGCTCCTGTGGTCTGAGAGACCACTCTGGCTCCGACTACGTAGCTCTTGTTACCTGGACTGCAGGTTTTAAGGTGCACCCTCCACTCCCCCCCTGTTTTCAGGGAGACTTCTGCAGCAGGCTGGGAGCGCCGCGTCACTGGCAGGGGAGGGCGGAATAACTGGAGGTGGGGGTGGTCTTGTTGGTCAGCCTTTGTTGCTGACCCCCCTCTCTGCCGCTGCAAAGTCTCTGTATTCCATGAGGCCACTTCTGCCCCTCCTGCCCCCAGTCTCCCAAGGGCTCCCGCTGGTCCGGACATGCACTCTAACCTCTGCTGCTGTAATTAGAGTGGCCTCAATTAAGCAACTCTCCATTTCCTAATCAAATTAAGTGAACACACAGGCTCTGCACGCTCTCTTCCAGTGACCTGGCATTGAGAGCTGCTCAGGAGGAGCTGCTCTGGAGTTGAAGCAGTACCCATGTGAATGCCTAAATATCCGGAGGGCACCCTGCACCCCGCTCCTCCGGGCTGGTGGCATTCTTGGCAGGGGTAGGAGCGTATGACTGAGTCCTCAGTGGCTTTTACTGTTCCGGACATTAACAAATGAAAGGTCCTGTTAAAGTGCACTTGGCAGGACCTTGCTTCCAGAGAGCTGCTTCCCTCTGTTGTTAGATTGGTACGTGACGCCAAGAGACCAGGTCACAACCTGGATGTGGCACTGCGTCATCAAAGACCACGTGGAGTAAGGGGAAGTGGGGGCAGGGAGACACTAGAAATAATAATGGTCTGGATAATTTGGTCATGACCACTGGCACCTGAGGAACTGTCCCAGGCTGACCCTGGTGACTGGTCCTTCCTCCTGCCAGAGGGTGCTGTGCCCGGGGAGCAGAGTTGCCACCACAGCAGTACTGGCTTTGCTGCCTGAGCGAGCTCTGCTCGCGGTCCACGATGCATGCTGGCTGCCGGGCAGCACTCCGCACGCTCTGGTCCCAGGGACCTGGTCCCCAGCATGGGGCTTCCTTCTTCTTCAGAAAGGGGAAACAACAAATGTGAGGATTTTTCTGAAGCTGACAAAGGCAAAAGTCCATCCTTTGCCAAGTCCAGTTGAGTGCAAACAAGAAATACCTGTTTTAGTAGAAACCACTTTTTACCTCTCACTTTGCTGTCATTTCTACTTACGCAAGATCATATTCTGTTGTATTTCTTGCTCATGTTTTGCAATTACACAAATGCAGAAGAATGTACCGCTTGTTTTGGGTTTCGCTTTTTTAAATTACCATGCCAGTTCTTGTAGAAAATGTGGTCTGAGGTGTCCAGCTCTGCTCTTAAATGTGTCTAATTTAAATAAGTAACAAGCCCTAAGGCATCAGGTGGCGCAGGCTTTTTAGCTGTGGCATTGCGTATGTTAGAACTGTTGTGACTATTTCTCTCCTTTGATGGATTCTTTTATGTGTTTTAGGAGCTTTTTAAAGTTCAAAATGGTATTTTACCTGTCCCAGTTCTGACCCTGCATGGCAGCTAACGGTTCACTTTTGCAGGTTGCTGTATGCCCTCTGTTCAGCTAAAGGTGAGAGCGTGGCTGGGGTCTGTAACGCTGCACACACGGGGTGCAGCCCATGGTGGGCACAGTGGTGGACTCTGAATGGGGTTTGTTTGAGGAAGGCAGTTTCAGTGCCCTCAGCTGGTGGTTTCTCCGAGTACAGGATGCCAAGAGCTATTACCTGCACCAGAGTCAGCCAGCTTTTCCTCTCTTCCCGTAGGTGTGCTGAGTTTGGAGGAGTTCAAACAATTGAATATCCGTGATTTCCACAAGTACATGGGAAGCCAGAAAGTGAAGATGAGTGACTTGGTGCGCAACAGCCAGCACACCTGGCTATACCAGGGCGAGGGAGCACACCAGGTCATGAGAGCCATACGGCAAAGGTAAGGGCCAGGCAGCCGAGGGGTGGCTGGGTTTGTGTAGGCACAAGAACCACCTCTGCTGGGAGAGGCAGTGGCAGACTTGCTAATATTCACACTTCCTAATTGTGTGAAAGTCTTTGGAGTATAAAGAGCAATGAACACAGACAAGGAATGGGGAGAGGAGGTTTTCATTAGAACAAGAATTTGTATTGTCCCATGGAAAAGGAAAAAGAAAAATCAAACCTTTCAGCATCTACATTCACTTTTGGGAACAGCCCTATAAAACCAAGAAGACTTGGCATTATATGAAATAATTCATTCTAATTAGTAAATGAGCTAACTAGGAGAAACCGCCTGTTTCCAATGCTGTCTGGGTGCCAGTAGTTACTGTCATTTGCTTTAGTTACTCATGCATTTCACTGAAATCTGTCTTAGCTGTTCAGATCTGACTTTTTAAGAAGCACGACTTCACCTCAAGCAAGCCAAGTTAGTTTAATCCTCCGAGCACATGTATTGTAGGGCAGCTCACGGCAGATGGGAGAACCTTTTGCCTTTCCCTTCATCTCAGATTTGGTACTGGGAAGCGTTGAAACCCAGCACGCAGGCCAAATCGTTTAGCCGTGGTGAGTTTCAGATAATTGGCTGGAGACTCTCTTGTTCTTGTGGTGCTGGTCCTCGCCCAGAACATGGGTGGGTAAAATCTGTCCCGAGGCTTGAAAACAGCTGTTGGCCACTCCTTTTCTTCAGTGCATTCCAGCGGGAGAATGGGGTCGCGTATTGCCTTGATTAGAGCAGACTGTGGCTGCTACCTTCTCCGTGTCAGCTAGCCAGCGCACACAGGCATCGGCATACTGCTTTTACGCTCTTCAGTTGGCCACTGTTATGAGGACGTGAAGACATAGCGCTGAAGGAGGCTGTTACATAGCACGGAAGGAGGCTGTTACAGTCCTCCCTGGGACCATGCCGTGCCTGGAGGGGCTTTGTCATCGTGCCTGGGTGCCGCGTTTCTCTCGCGCCTGCCCCAAGGGCTTCACTGGTCTGAATTCTCAGAGCTCTGAGTGTTCTTTGGCAGGTCTCGAGAGGTACCTGCTTGCCTTGGGGATGATCTCAGATGTAGGAGCGGAAAAATCCCAGAGCAGGAGGGCTCCGGTCTCCTTGATCACTTCCCGTGCCCCTCTGCCCTGGGGGGAGGCTGCTGAAAAGGCAACAGGGAAAGGTGAGTTAGGTGACAAGAATATTCCTAGAGCTAGCCTCTCGTTCACTCTCAGCAGGGGCCCTGTGCTTTGCTAACTGTCCCCAAGGTCTGTAGGTGGTGTGCAGGACTCCAGAGAAGCCATGAGATGGCACATGAAGGCTCCAGGGACACACACAGAAGAGATCTTTCTGAGCAAGCAAAGCCTTCCTGAGAGCAGTCCTGCTGGAGATGCATCCTTCAGTTTTGGGGTTTTTTATTAACTTTGACAAGGACTTTCTGAGCTCATGCTGATGGTCCAGCAGATCTGTAAGGACCTAGTTATCTCAGCATGCTTGCTGCAGCCCATCTGTCTCTCTGGTCTGTTGGGGAAGGGGGTTGTCTTTCTCTGGATTTATTCAGTGCTTGGGAGTAGCAGCCAACCGGGGTGATTGATGGTGGTTTCCCCTCACCCGCTCTGCTCTCCTCTTCCCCAGGGTCATGCGCCTGACTCGCTTGCCCCCCGAGATTGTGGAGCACAGCGAGCCCCTCCAGGTTGTGCGGTACGACCAAGGAGGGCACTACCATGCCCACATGGACAGTGGCCCCGTCTTCCCCGAGACTGCCTGCAGCCACACCAAGCTGGTCGCCAATGAAAGCGCTCCCTTTGAGACCTCCTGCCGGTAAGGTCTGCCTTGGCACAATCTGGAACGCGCTAGAGAAGAGGTGTGGAGAGCCGTTTCACCTCACCTCGCATGGGGCTCGGTGCTCAGGTTGTGGGCTGGCAAACCAGCTCTGGAGATTGCTGGCATGAAGGGGTTTGAATGGGAGGTGGGTGAATCCTGTGGGTCCATGTGAGGAGGGCAGAGTGGTTCTGCAGAGCTGCTGGGCCATCCCCACCAGAGGGTAGAAACGCATGCTCACCGTTGCGGGAGGGGATTTTCTTTGTTGTCCTTGTCTTGTCCTTGGAGAAAAACTGATGATGTAAATCAAGTATCTTGTGATGTCTTGGCTGTATGTATGGTGGAGAGGCAGGGGACGGACAGCTCCTGTGCGTCTCCTCCTGTTCCAGTTGTGTCCCCTGACAGCCACTCTGTCTTGCAGGTATGTGACAGTGTTGTTCTACCTGAACAATGTGACCGGGGGAGGCGAAACAGTCTTTCCTATAGCTGATAACAGGACGTACGAAGAGATGGTAAATGAATCTCACCTACATGTTACCCCTGGGGATTCTGAGTTCCTCTTTGAATGTCTTTATTCGCTGTGGCTGCAGAAGGGGTCCAGTGTGTGAGGTTGGTGGCCATTAGCCTTCGTAGTTAGAGCATGGGGAAGCTGTGTCCCTCTGAGGCCGAGGGAAGGGGCGCAGGGCTCTGACAGCTGCAGCTCTCCCCGCTCAGAGGTGCGAGGGGTGGTCTGTTGGCCTTGCTGCCGTAACACAGGTCCTGCTCCCTTCTGTCTGGGCAGGTTTCCTCAGACTAATTCTTGGCAGGTATGTTGTGCTCCTGTCAGGCAACATGTTAAGGAATGGGTGGCTGCTCAGAAACAGGTCGTGGACCTCCAGGGAGCTGAAACTGGCTGCTCCGGGTGGGTTGTGAAAGCCCTGTCCTACCCAGCATCAGCCTTGAGCTGTCCCTGTGGGGCGTTCAGGCGAAGGGCAGGATGACAGCTGGCAGCAGAGGCAGCCCAGTGCGTGTGCTTCGTCCCAGCCCCGTTTGCGACACCTTTTCTGTGGTTTCTTGCCAGTCTTTGATCCAGAATGACGTTGACCTGCGAGATACTCGGAAAAACTGTGACAAGGGCAATTTGCGAGTGAAACCTCAGCAAGGCACTGCTGTCTTCTGGTACAACTACCTGTCAGATGGAGAAGGTACGGTCCCATTTCAAGACTCGGCTCTTGGGAGGGGTAGGACTGCAGGAGGTGACAGACATCCTCTTTTTGTGGCGGCTGAGAGCTCAGAAGAAAGCCAAAGGGTGGTAGCTGCCTGCTAGTGGGAACTGCAGAATCTACTTGTCACCAGCTGGGTAGGAGCTTCCTGACCCTGAAAGGCCTTTGTTTACAGGCAGTAGGTCAGTGGCTCCTGATGTCTTTGGGGGACGGGACTAGCTAGCAAACAAAGACCTTGGCTGCACTAGCCATCGCCAGCTGCCTTCCATCCTGCTGTGCAAGCTGAAACTCCTGCTGGAACTTAGTCTGCAATTCAAAATGTTTCACTGATGTGGTGTTGCCCAAAGGGGTGGGGAGGGGAGGTAGACAAAGACTCGGCCATCAGCTCTGCAGCACAGGGAGGCATGGCCCGACTCCTTTATAGCTCAGCCGCAGCCTGATGATCTGTGTCCTTGGGGCTGTTTTTCTCACGAAGCACAGCGCAGTTTTCCCTGACAGCCAGGCTGGGGAATTGACATGGATCTTCCAGGCTGCTGGTGAGTATGGCTCCAGAGTGTTTCGATGGCAGATTTTGAGCAGTGGTGAGAGGAAGGAGTATAGCATCCCAGCTCCCCTGGGAGCAGCCCATGTTTCCATCTCTAGAAAATCCACAGAGGAGGTCACAAGACCAGTATTTGGGCCGTTGGACGATAATATCAAGACCATCACTCTCCTGTAAGAAGAGCCCTGTTGTGTTTTTATGAGCAGAATGTTCCTAAATGGAAGGCGGCTGCTGATGCAAGTCTGCCACAGAAAAACCATGTGACCTCTGTAAAGAGAGGATCATTTAGAACTGCCGAAATGCAATCTCTAATAGGGCTTTGAGCCTCTGACTTCCACAGGCCTTCTAGCAGCAGCACCCCTCTCTTCCATGCCAGCCTCCCCTTTTGGGAAGAGAGAAAAACGGCAGCCGTGATGCAGAATGCGAGAGCCCCTTGTGCTCAGTGGAGGCACAGAGGCAACTAGCGTTTTGCACTTGGGGAGCCTGCTCTGGCGAGCTCCTCGTAGGTGCTCGGGTGGGGTAGCACTGAGGTGGAGGGCTGCCAGGAGGAGCCAACTCCTGGAAGATGTATCTGAGCTACAATCCAAGCAGGCGCCGTGGGCAGGAGGGCGGGTGTCGGCATTCGCAGGCCGTGCCTCCCTGCGCGGTCCCGACTGTGCCTGCCTGTGCTGCAGCACTCCTCGCCGCCTCCTAACAGGGCTTTGCTCCACAGGCTGGGTGGGGGAGGTGGACGACTTCGCCCTGCACGGGGGCTGCCTGGTCACCCAAGGCACCAAGTGGATCGCCAACAACTGGATCAATGTGGACCCCA